CATAATGAAACTTTATATTCAAAATAAAATTTTTAAGCCCCCGTTAACAGGGCCTTAAACCTGCTAATGGGTTTAACAGGATGCATCCCCTAATCCTTTCATCATAGACATCTATTGTTTTTTCACCCTACCCCTCCTCTCTATTGAGACTTGTACTTCTTTGTACTCCAGTCATGGGTCTCTAGTAGGGGCTACCATGTTTCCAGATGACTCCACCCGCCTCCTCAGTAATAATTGACCGGTCCAGAGATAGGCATCTGACAAAACAGGCCAATCAGAACCCTTCCCTTGGGCTTTTGTCCTAACTGGAACTGGAAAAAATACAATCTTTTTCTGTGATGATAGGAACTGTGGAGTGAGAAAAACAGGAGCTTTTGTGACCACATTCCTCACCTCATTCCTCAGGGTTGGTATGAAGAAAACCAGTCCTGAGTGAGAGAAAGGTTGACATGCAAAAAAAAAAGGGGGTGGCTGGTATAGAGATGGAGAGTGGTCTGGTGGTGAGTTTCTTAAATATATAGGAAAAATATACCAGGAACCAACAGTAAAGGGAAGGAAATCAGGACTCAAATCAACAATTGGGAGCAGAAGGAATAGATAAACATTCAACCAGAACAGAATGAAGAAACAAGAATTCAAAATGAGGAGAGGCTTAGGGACCTCCAGGACAACTTTAAACATTTTAACATCCAAATCCTAGGGTTTCAGAAAGAGAAGAGGAAGATTGAGAGACTGAAAACTTATTCAAAAAATAATGGAGAACTTCCCCGATCTGGCCAAGGACATAGAGTTCCAGGAGATCCAGGAAGCTCAGAGAGTCCCAAAGAAGTTGGACCAAGGCTCATCATAATTACATTACCCAAAACTAAAGATAAGGAGAGAAATTAAAAGCAGCAAGAGAAAAGCAGAGAGTCACCTACAAAGGAGGTCCCATGAGACTACCAGCTGATTTCTCAAAAGAAACCTTGCAGGCAAGAAGGGGCTGGGAAGAAGTATTCAAAGTCATGAAAGGCAAGGACCTACATCCAAGATTACTCTATCCAGCAAAGCTCTCATTTAGAATGGAAGGGCAGATAAAGTGCTTCCCAGATAAGGTAAAGTTAAAGTTCATCATGACCAAGCCCTTATTATAAGAAATGTTAAAGGGACTTATGTAAGAAACTGAAGAAGATCAAAAACCATGAACAGTAAAATGACAAAAAACTCACAACTATCAACAACTGAACCCAAAAACAGAAAGAAACTAAGCAAACAACTAGGACAGGAACAGAATCACAGAAATAGAGATCACCTGTATGGTTATTAGTGGGGAGGGGGAGGAGGAGAATGGGGGAAAAAGGTACAGTGACTAAAAAGCATAATTGGCAGGCACAAAATAGACAGAGGAGGTTAAGGATAGTGTAGGAAATGGAGAAGCCAACGGACTTATATGCACAACCCATGGACAGGAACTAGGGGGGAGGATTGCTGGAAGGTGCCAGACAGAGGGGATAAAGGGGGGAAATGGGACAACCATAATAGCATAATCAATAAAACACATAAAAAATAAACTGAAGGAAACATAAAAAAATTGCTTAATAAATATTTGCTAAACAAATAATGGATTTATGCCCTGTTGAGTGTGCCTCAGTTGGTTGGAGCATTGTCCTGTACAACAAAAGATTATGGATTTGATTCCCCATCAGGGCACATATCCGGCGGGTTCAATCCCCAGTCGAGGCACAAATGGAAGGCAACCAATCAATGTTTCTCTCCTTCTCTCTCCCTTCCTCTCTTTCTAAAATCAATAACATATTTTTTTAATAATAGATTTATGCCTTCCAAACCAGAACTCACCATGGAAAAACCGAGACACACCACAATGCTGTGACCATAGCATCATGGTGACTATGACAAGAATTCTCTCTAGCCACCCACCTCCACAAAGCTCCACTAATTACACCAAACATTGCACCTTAGGGAAGTTTCAGTGGACTTGGCAGATTGTTGCACAACTGCTAGCTATTTTTTCGGTGTTTGCAAAATATAAAGATATGTGTGGATTGTACCTAATAGGGCCTAACTGATTAGTATACAATTCCCAAAGAGCCAAACCACTCAGTACAAGTATTCGTATTCCCTTGGAGAACCTACACAATGGAACTTAAGGTTCTCTCCAGGTCAAAGAAGGCTTGGCCTCACACAGTCCCAACCCTGGTATCAACAGCAACTCTCCTCTGGCCCTGGCTGTCCCAGAGTAGCATACATTATTCATTGGCACCAAGGACATCCAGGGACACAAACTAAAGATAATGATGCTTATTTATTGGCCCTTAATCACTTGTCCTTCCCACATGCTGGAAAAAGTGCCAAGTCGAATTTGTCCAGCATTGGTCTCGTCAGATCAGATAATGAAACTATCGGTAGTAATTTATTATCATGCTAAAAGTAAGTAACATCTGTCGGCACTTACTATAACTAGGGACCATGCATAACATGCTGCATTAGCCAAGATAGACTAGGTTATGTCACAGTAGTAAATTAACCCCAAAATATCACTGGCTTGGCAACAGAAGTTGACTTACTTCTCACATTCCATGTCCCCCATGGGTTAGCTGGGGACTATGCTCCATATGGTCACTCAGAGACCTAGGATGATGGGAATTCTCCATGTCAACACAAGTCCCCCACAGTTACTGCAGAGAGTGTGAGAGAGCGGGATGGTTATGTACCAGCCTTTGAAAGCTCTGGGATGGAAGTGATGCATGTGGCTTCTACTCACAGCATACTGGCCATAAATTACCAGGAGTTTGGGAAATGAGGGCAAGCACATGGATATCACATGAGCAGTAAGCATTCTTGCTGACATGTAATATCTTATCAGAGCATCACAACCTTGGGAAATATATCATCATTCCTTCTTTCACAGAAAAACACAGAGGCATAGAGAGGTTGTGAGACTTGCCCCAATGTGTCATCGATAGTAAATGGCAGAGCCGAGATGTAAACCCATGCCTGGCAAGCTTCAAAACTCTCTCAACCACAATGCTGCATACTTGTCACAAAATTCTATGGAAATACCACATATAGAAAACACCATGCTAAGTAATTGTAGCAAAACACTGTGCTAACAAGCCAAGTTATACAGATACAAAATGGAGCTCCCCTGACACACTACCTCCTCACCCCAAAGATTCAACCTAAGCAAATGCCTGGAACAGAATTCTCAGGCAATTTCACAAAAGGGAATTGGATCATCTCATCTGAGTCTGACATCCAGCCTTCACCCCACCATGTCAAGACAAAAACTTAAAACAGAAAACCCAGGCACACTGCACCAGAAAACCCATTGGTGACATCTTTATAAAATGCACAGAACTTTCTAGAAGTGCAAAGGTAAGAGTCATGCCTGTATCCACAGGAAAAGGCGAGCCGCGGGGAGATCTATTAGGAGGGTATTGTCATATCAGAATGAGTGGATGAAGGAAGGTGCCTCCAAGAAGCTAACTCATCCAAGCCTACAAATTTGAAGTCTAGCACCACCTCCTCCAAGAAGCCCTCCCCTGCTCAGCTTCTCAGGGTTAGGACCTGCTCTTGCATTACATCCCACATGCACCTCCAGCAGGCCTTTCCACTGCACATAACCCTTTACTTGTCTCCTGGAATCTGAGCCACACACAGACAACCTCTGTATCTGTACCTCTGTCTCCTGCACAATAAATGTGGAGTAGGTGGGAAGATGCTCAGCTGTGTTCAAAGCAATTTATTCCCATGGGTAATTTAATGCCCTTGTGCCCAGAAACCATGTAGCCAAGTATTAAAACCATAGGCCTGACCTCACTTGTGCTGTGTGACCTTGGAGTGGTGTGAGTTATTTATTCAGCTACAGAGTAAAAACCACCTCATACATTGTAAAAATTAAGTGGCAAGCAGGGATTATTCAAACCAAAGCCTTTTTGTGAACAAAAGTTCACAGCAGCACTATTCACAAAAGCCAAAGGTAGAAACACCCCAAACATCCATCACCTGGGGAATAGATATATAAAATGTAAAATATCCGTACAATGGAATATTATTCAGCCATGAAAAAGAATGAAGCACTTATTCATGCTACAACATGGATGAGCTTTGAAAACATTATGCTCATTGAAAGAAGCCAGACACAAAAGACCACATGTTGTATGGTTCCATTTATATGCAATGTCCAGAATATGTAAATCTGAACAGATAGAAAGCAGATTAATGGTTGCTGGAGGCCAGGGGAGAAAGGAATGAGAAATGATTGCCAATGGGTATAGGGCTTCCTTTTGGGATGATAAGAATATTCTGAAACTAGATAGTGATAATGGTTGCACAACTTTGTGGATGTACTAAATATCACTGAATGTGCAAATATCACTTGCAAATGGTTAAAATGGTAAATTTTATCCTATGTGTATTTGACCACAATAATTTTTTTAAATTCTTATGGGAAATTTTCATCTAATAAGCTTCCTAAGATTAAAAAATAATAATTGAATAGAATAGATAATGTATATACAGTTCCCAGCTCTCATGAGTACTTAATCCATGTTGACTGTTTTCATAATCATAATAAACAATCATTTGTTCTCCCTATAAAACAGGATGTACTAAGCAAAGGGAAGCACCAATCTAATTTGTTCCCCAAATCTTTACAGTAGTGGAATTAGTATAACAGTCCAAAATATTTCACATGATTTGACTTTTCTTATCAGGGTAAAATACATGCAACATAAAATTTACCATTTTTACCATTTTTAAATGTACAGTTTAGTGGCATTAAGTGCATTCACAAGGTTGTACAAACATCATCACTATTTCCAGAACTTTTTCATCATAGAAAATGTGCCATCTTCTTACATTCCAGGCATTTTGACCCTCAGCAGAGCTGGGGCAGAATTATCAATTTGGACTTTGTTCAACCACAGATAAAAAAAGGGAGAAAATGGGAGCGGGCCCATGAACTCTGCTATGTGTGCATGTGAGGCCCTCACAGCACGATGGGGCTCAGGGTCCTTGGGCTGCTGCTGTCTGTTCTACTGGGTTGGGCCAGCAGCCACCCCATCCCCGGGAGGAAGAGCTTCAACAAGCTGTTGCTGATCTCGTTTGATGGCTTCCGCTGGGACTACGACCAGGATGTGGATACCCCTAACATGGACCGCCTGGCCCAGGAAGGCGTGAAGGCCAAGTACCTCACCCCACCCTTCGTGACAATGACCTCCCCATCCCACTTCACCACAATCTCAGGTAAGTTCTGCTCTGTAGCCAGTCCACAAATGCTGGTGGAAGGCTCCAGCATCTGTTATTCCCTGAGGGGGAACCCATTCTGGCTCAGCTCTGGAGAGACTAAGGCAGCTCATGCAACTTGGGGTCACTCCCTGGAAGAAGCACTGACTTAGAATATGCTGGGGTCTCAGGGCTATTTCTAGAAACCCATGGGCTACACAGCCCTGACCTACAAACCGAATCAGAACTAGGATGGCAGCCCCCCAAGGGATCTCCATGCTCCCTGGGCCCATCCCACCCTCCACGCTGCCTTGTACACAGAGGCTGATGATCTTTTTCTAAACTAAGTTGTTAAAAGAATTTTATAAAAATAAAAACTTGCCCTGGCCAGTGTGGCCATGGCTCTGTTGGTTGGAGTGTTATCCTATAGAATGAAAGGTTCCACTTATGGTCAGAGCACATACCTGCAGGTTCAGCCTTGTCAAGGCATGTGCCAGAGTTGGCTGACTGATGTTTCTCTCTCACGTTGATGTTTCTCTCTCCCTCTCTCTCTCCCCACCGCTCTAAAATTAATGGGTATGTCCTTGAGTGAGGATAATAATAATAATAATAATTTAAAAAGCTTAAAGTTTAAAGAATTCAATTAGATCAAGCAACTACGCTGCTTAATACTGGCAAGTTAAAGAGACACCAATGCTCTTAGAAGAGAGTATAAATTTCATTTTTCTGTGACCCAAGCGATCCCTACAGCCTGGCCCCTGGTCTCTCCTGGCCTTTCTCATCTCTCTTCCCCTTGAGTGCTTCCCTCAATATCACAAAATCCTCCTATCTGTGCCTTCACTCAGCCCCACCTGCCCCAGGGCCCTTGCCTGTTCAGGTCCTCCTAGCTCACCTAGAGCATGTAGTCCACTGGGGCAGACAGACATTAGGCAAACACACATACTAACAAATCTCAGTACAACTCGGAGACACACCAAGAAGGAAGAAGAGAGTTTCTCCAGGAGAATATGGCCAGAGTAATTTGATTTGAAATTGGAGAGACAGGAAAGGGGTCTCTGAGATGGGGGAGCTGAGCTGCAAGAGAAAAAGGCCTTGAGTGACAAGAGAAAGGAAAAGTGTTCTAGGTAGAGGGAATAGCATGCGTGAGGTCTCTGTGACAAGAAGGAACATGATTGTTCCAGAATCACTGTAGCAAAGGACTCCACTATAGTAAGAATAACAATAGCTTCTGTTTCTCTGGCATGGACTTGATGTCAAGCACTGTGCTAGGTGCCTTTGTTGTCTCCAATATAATACTGCAAAGCAGTGTTGTCTCCGTTCCATAGATGAGAAAACTAAAGCTGAGTAACTGCCCAGTCACCTGGCCAGGAAATATGGAAGGGAGGAGCCAGGCCTGGAACCAGGGTGCCCCTGGCCACACAAAATCGGTTCTGTCCAGTTCTGAGCTAGGAATCCACAGACCTCTCCTGGGGGCAAGGGGCATAGGAAGGGGTGCCTGGCAGCGTGAGCCTCACTCCTATCCTGAGAGCCACTCCCCAGAGGACATGCAAACTGCTGGTGCCATTTTTCAGGGAGAGGGTTTTATTGCTTCCTCAGACTCTCAAAGGGGCCCTCTAATCAGAAACTTAAAAAATAAAGCTGAACACACACTCAGGGGGAGATTTGCTGAGAGAGATTTTCCTACATGTAAACTCTTTGAGAGGCTAGTCATTGGGGAACTATTAGCACCAGGAAGCAGGAACTAAATAGCCGTTTTCTGGAGAAAGCAAATGCCACTTCCCGTCGACTTTAAATTCATAACACTGAAAAGAACTTCCGTCAGCAGATGCTGGGTCCTTTGACACTGAGAATACAATGGGCACAAAATGTTATAAGGCTCGCCCACTGCTTATTTATTCCCAGAAGGGTTTTGATGAGAAGATATAAACAGTGAGAGCAAACTTTAAAAATTAAAAAATTACCTCAACTTCTCTACTACATTCACTGCCAGTGGGGTCTAGAAACAGAACAGCTCCAGCGGAGAGTAATTTGGCAACTTGCAACACAATCACACATGCAGGAATTTCTTATTTGGCAATAGCACTTGTAGGACTTTACCCTACAGATATATATCTATATGGTGGAAAAACATGTACTTACAAAGTTATTCATTGCATTAGTGTTTGTAACCACAGAAGAAAATATCCAACCAGTGGGAAGTGTCTAAATAAAATATATCCACAGTATGGCATACTCTGTCACCTTTAAAGAAAAAAATGAGGAAGGGTCCTGGTGCCCAAAAAGAAGCTCTCTCCAAGATGCACAGAATGTATGTAGCATGTATATATATGTGGATATATGCACATACAATTGCTTCTAGATGCATAGAGGACCTCTGGATAAATCAACAAGAAATTTTGGTAACAGTGGTTCCTCCAGGAAAGGGGATGGGTAGCAGGGAGACTTTAGACTGTATGCCCTGTGTACCTTTGATTTTGGAACATGTGAACAAATTGACTATAAAAAACAAAGTGCTATAACTCAAAATAATCTTTTACTTTCACCATTATGAAAAAAAGCATGTTCCTGCGCCCCTCTTATTCATAACCAGACCTTCCATTTATTGAGCAGGATTCACCCTGCGTCAACTTTAAAAGAAGTTTCTCTGTGGACATTTGGGACAAGATTGTTCCCTGTGGTGGGGCCATCCTGTGCACCATGGGATGTTAAGCAGTCCCCACGCACTAAAAGCCAGAAGCATTCCCTCCTCCCACTGTGACAGCCAAAAATGTCTCCATACATTGCCCACTGCTCCCAGCTGAAAAACCACTGCCTTGCGTGGTTGAGCCCATTACTTGGCTTACGTAAGTGCCCAGCAGGTACCTCAGTCATCGTGTTCTTCAATTTTCATAATGGTGATATGAGGTCAGAACAGTTACCCTCTTTACAGGTAAAATATCCAAGGCTCACAGAATATACCAATCTTCCCTGGGGCAGGAGCAGGATTCGAACTCAGCCTTGAACAGTTCAGACAATGGGTCTTCAATCCCTCCCCTCCATCATGACTACAGCCCTCTCTTATCTTGGGTTTAATTAAATAATCATTCCAAACCCCTTTGACTATTGACCATCCTCAAGCTTCCAGGCAATGAGTATATACACTGAATATGTTGTATTAATGAAAGAGAGGCCACCCCAGACCCAGCAGAACCACTGGTATTAATCTTCATGAGCTAGGCTCAAGCTGACCTCTGTCTGACTCCAATGTGGAAAAGAATCATCTGTAATAGAAAATATAATGGATAAAAATTGGTGCTTCCAGCACCCAAAGACCTCATCAGATTCCAGGGGGTCAGCCTGACACAAACTATGATAAAAGAGGCTCTCTGGCCCAAGAACTCATTCACTGGTGTTCTTACAAACACCTCTGGGCAATTTAACACAGGAGAGAGGTGATGATGGGGAGCTGCTACACTGTTCCACATCTCGGCTGCCAAGTGGGATGGCACAGCTCCAGCAAGGGCTCAGGTCTGAGAAGCCACGTGGTCACCCCTCTAAGTGTCCTAGACAGAGTCCAAAGAACAAGGACCAGGTGGTCCCCAGAAGGGGGCAAGTCTGAAGAGGCCATGCCCCAGGTGCAGAGCCCAGGAGCAACACCCTGCCCCCCCACACACACACACACAAAGAAACATAGCTGAGTTGGCCGCCCAGGTCAGAACTCTGGGCCACCAGAGACACAGTCTACATCTGGGCAGCAGGACCTCCTCGTGCTTTGGGCTGCCAGGTGTGCAGATAGCTCAGCCTTCACCTGGAGTCAGGACCTCATGACCCTCATCAGCTTTCTCTGCTGCCGGTGAAGAAGGTCTTCCTGCAGAGTTTTTTAGAGTGCTCCTCCTATATGCATTCTTTCATTGGACAAGCTTCTCTACTGCATCAGGCAGTGGGGACAGTGACAACTAGACACATGTCTCCAGGGTCTTGTTATCTTTCCAGGGCTTGTCCCACAACACAGGCTCACATTCCACGTGCTCCCAGATCTCACAGACCTTTCAGGGACTTGCTTCTGTTTCTCTGTAGTTCCACCAGGAAGGACAAAGTGCTACTTACCTAGGGATCCTTCCGCCTCTGCTTCCTTTCTCTGATAGCTCAGGGCATCACACAGAGGAGCTTTGTTCCTACTCACCTGTGTCCTCTCAAGCTTTTCTCTGCACCCCAAGTCCCCTGTGGTTCCCATAGGAATCAAGATTGTGAAACTCCAAAGCCAGAGGAGTCTCTGCTTTCTACATTTTCTCCCATGGCACCCTTTCCTTGAAGCATGGAGGACAGAAGTCTTGGCTGTTTAATGAGGGAAAGGCTACAGGACAGAGAATTTTTTAAACTGGCTATTAATTCAAAATATCCAAACTTACCATTTCTCCATCCAAGAAAATCTTTTCATCCTTACAAAGAATGTGTTATTTTCCTCCACGTATTTGTCTCCCAGCACCACCTACAAGAGGGAGAAGGGGCCTCATTCTAAGGACATGGCTTCTGAGTGCAGCGAGACCTGGCTGTGGGGTAACATTCTCCCCCCAGCTCCCCAAGGCTGGGCACTGAACAGGCCTGCGTATTCATTGAGCTCCTCCCCTCCCTCATTGGATGGTCCATGACCTCCCCCAAGATAGTTTTCTTCCTCCCACCTGGCTCTATCCCCCGACCTCCATGCCACACATACACAAAGGGATCTTGGCCACAAAACCTGAAATGTGCATTGGTTTTCTATACCTGTGTAACATATTACCACGATCTTAGCAACTTAGAACAATACCCATTTATTATCTCTCAGTTTCCATAAGTCAGGAGTCTGAGCATGACTGAGTTTGGGCCTCTGCTCAGGGCCTCACAGGGCTGCAATCAAGGTGTTGGCCAGGCTGAAGCCTTCTCCCAAGCTCACCTCCCCTTTGGAAGAAGTCATTTCCTTGCAGCTAAGAACTCATGCTTCCTTAAAGCCAGCAGGAGAGGGTTTCTCTCCTCTAGACCTTCTTTTAAGAGCTCACCACATT